GTTTACAGCCGTTACTGGAGAAACCGCTAGTTCCACCGCTCTCACAGCGCCTCCTGCTGGCAGACAAGCAGTTTGCATTTTCAAGAATAAACCCATTTCCAGCAACATGCTTTTGTTGTTGCTCTATTTTTTGTTTGTTTTCTGAAGCAACTCGGAGCACTTTTCATACTCAAAAAAATATTAATAAGGAGAGTCTGAGATTTATTTGACAGTGATTTCACATTTCTTGTTTGTATGAAGGTTGAATACCAATAAAAGGTGAACGTTTATTTATTTACACCATTTTTTTCCCTAAAATATTATATAGTTTTATAAGAGTAGGTTTCATAGAGTTGGCAAATTAATTTTTCATAAGTTTGTATGCACAGACATCTGTTGTGGCCGTTCTTGGCCGTTTTTATGAGGCTTTTTAAAATAGTGTTCATATCGATATCGGAATTATATCGTATTGACCGAAATTAAGAAATATATCGTGATATAAATTTTGGCCATATCGTCCAGCCCTAATATATATATATAATTAATTAATTTGAAAACAGAAAATGGTTGCCTGAAATTCATGAGGTAGATGATGATCCCAGAATGATTAAATATCTGCAGATTCATCGGTCTGTTACTAAATGTGACGCTGTAAGTTTATGGCAGAGATATTTATCTTGTTTTGAAGGCTTTCTTGCGTGAAATGTCTGATTAAAATCTGCTGAGTAAAGAAGTTGCATGTAGAGTTGCAGTGCATATCTGATGTTGCTGTGCTTTTCTGCTTCCTTTAACTGGTGTCATCGATATCTGGTATTAATGGTTTCAAATATCTCCTATCTAAGGGTGTTTGCAGTCTGTTATGGTCCTCCTTGCTGTCTTCCATGCATGTTTTTTCTCTCACCCTTTTTTAGACTGGTGTCCTCCGTTCAGGCTATTATGGCATCCTCTGCCGGGTACATCATCGCCTGTTCTTGTGAAGACATTATTGAGGACCAGTGAGTATCAGCTGAAGATATGTGACAAGATATAACATACATTTTTTGGCAATTAAGATTGATTGTATATGTAGGGATCTCTGTTTTACTATACTCAGCACTGTTTTACTTGGGTGTTTGTTTGTTTTCCTATGTGCCTGTCTCTCTCTCGCCTCTTTTCACTTGTTGAATTGAGAATTCTCTGATTTTCTATGGAATTGTTCCCAGATGTGTAGGAGTGTGAAAGTATTCCCTACACTCTTGAGTGTTTCTAAGAATGTGCTATTTCTCCAATGTGCACCATATGTCAGTGAAATCTAATTAGAAACTAATTAGGTTGCGAGCCTGTCTGTAAATCCACTGTGGCACACCAAGCTGGGGGGGAAAGGAGCGAAAGAGAGAGTAGACTGGAAAAATACTGTGGAAAAACTTGACTTGACTTTTTATGACGGCTTTAGTCAGCGGTTTCATTTAATACTTGAAAGCTGCATCTTTACAATCTGTGAAACCCATTAGGAGGTTTGTGGAAAACGATTGGCTCTAATTTGATTTGCCTCACCTAATTGAATTGTATGTCTTGTTTTGAACTGTTTATCTTGTTTAATTTTGCCTTAACCCGAAGGCACACAAGTGAGTTAAGAACGGCAGCTCAAATAGGTCCGAGCAATCATCCCCCAGTTTCACAGACAAGGCTTAAGCCTAGTCTGAACTGTTTTACCTGAAAGAAACTTGCGCTGATATATCTTATGGTTTAATCTAAGCCCTGTCTGTGAAACCAGGCATGTTTCATAAATGATTTAAGCCAGGTAAACTTAGTGTATGTGTAGTAAATGCATCAGTCAGGGTACAGAGGGCTGGGAATTAGACAAGGGCCAAGTCAAATACTTGGCCTATTTTTTACAGGTTTTCTTTGTCAGGTTTTGAATTGTATTATGCTAATTTAGGTTTTGAGAGTATTAGTACATCAGTATTGTGATTTCTTCAGTATGTTTTTAAATATTCATGACTGTAATAATGGACTAGTCAAGTATTTAAATGGTATATTCCAATGTAAAATCTTAAAAGAAGTTACTAAAAACAGGTTACTAAATGCAACACTTGAAACTTTAAATGCTTGGAATTGTAACTTTTTTTTTTTAAGAGAAGAAGCTTTTTGGGAAAAAAAGGCGAAAGCGGTGTAGAGATGGGTATCTATACTCAAATAAAAAATACAGATACTAAGGTGTTTTTTTTTACCTGTCATTTTGTTAATTTAACAAGAAATGTAATGCATACAATATGCACTGAATTGGACGAATAACCCATGTTAGCGAATAATTGTGGAAAATATAACTATTTTCCTGCTTAACACACGGAAATGCTGCAAGACATAACCAATCAATCACAGAGAGCGTTCACTCACTACTGACACTGCATTCAAACAGGGCTGCTTTTCCCAAAAGTATCATAAGAAACCACTGATGCTTTTGGGAAACGCAGCTCAGAACAATGCTTATCAGAGGAAAGAACAACATAATATGTTTGAGTTATTTCACAATAAACTAATTTAAATTGTAGCCTATCATTTGTGCAATTACATTTATTTAAATTGAACGTTAAATTGAATGAGAGCGCAAAACAAAACACCGGTCACGAATTAGAAGTACAAAACAAGGATTTGTAAAGAAAGATGTTGGAGGATTTCGATATAAGCCAAGAGGAGACTGGTTTTCCTTTTCTAAACAAAGGAAACTTATACTACGCCTATGTCCTACGTCATCCTCTGGAATGCCACTCTCTCGTATACGTGCGTATGACAGTTAGCGGAAGCTAGAGATTACGGTTTATAAAGTTTTAAATATGGATATTTTTCTTACAAAAATGCATCAATTCAACGGTTGTGCTTTATTGGACTTCTTTTGGACTATTGAAAAATAACACCCATTCACTGCCATTATAAAGCTTGGTAGAGCCAGGACATTTTTAAATATAACTCCGATTGTATTTGTCCGAAAGAAAAAAATCATATACATCTAGGATGGCTTGAGGGTGAGAAAATCATGGGGATTTTTGGGTGAACTAGGGGGTCTGAATACTTTCCGTACCCACTGTATATATATATTATTTGTTGAAAATAGCTGTGATGCTTATTATTTTTGTGGAAACTGTGATAGATTTTTTCAGGTTTCTTGATGAATAGAAAGTTCAAAAGAACAACATTTATAAATTTTTGTAACCAAGTAAAATTCTGTACTGTCACTGATCAATTTATTGGATCTTTGATAAATAAAAGTGTTAATATCTTTTACTGACACCAAACCTTTGGAGGGTAGTATGCTTAATTTTCAGAAATAGACACACATTTATCCTGACAAATCACGCTTCTCTTGGGAACACGTAGAGCAGGGGTTCTCAAACCTCTCCATGAAGTACCCCCAGCACTGCACGTTTTGTATGTCTTCCTATATCTGACCAAGCGGCAACCTCCCGCTCTCTCTCGTGAAGCCCACACGGAAGTGACTTAAACTGTAATTCATCAACTGGCTGGCTGCAAAAGGGAGTCAATCCTGTTTAAAAAAATTTACAGCCTGGTTAAAAAAATTATTTTGGTCTATATAAATAATTTTGCCCTTCATGAGAACTGTGAGGGGGGTGAATTTTTTTTCATGGTTTCAGGTGTGATAGATGAGGGAGACATACAAAATGTGCAGGGCTGGGGGTACTCCATGACAGGTTTGAGAACCACTGATGTAGAGAATAGTGTTACTGCCTCTACAGTCTGACTGGTGCTTGATTTGCTAGTCAAATTTTAAGGGAGTGTGTCACACAAAAATGAAAATGTAATCTACTCCCTCTCATGTTGTTGTTCTAAACCTACAGTATATGAATGCTTGTCTAACATGTGACACAAAATGAGAAATGTATCCGACTTGCCTGTAACCTCCAGTAGTTGTGAGCACCTTGGACTTGTTTTGGTTCTCAAAGGATTTTAAAACTGATTTGGAAAAGTCATTAAAAGTGAATTAAATCTGCACCGGTTTAAAATGTTAAGTAAAAGTTGCCTTTCAGAGCATTATATCTATAAATCTATTCAGTATATAGAAATATTAAATAATGACTGAAAACAATCATGGGAAACGTTCTGGTAATTTATATATTACAGTACTGTAGTGCTGTGTTCGATACATTGATACAACGATACGAGTATCGATACAGCTGGCCCTGTATCAATATTGTGGCACGTGTGCAGCAGTGGACCGCGCTTAATTTGAATACAAGAACTCCGTTTAAAATAGAGTAGAAAAGTGCGAGGTTTCTAAAAAATGAATAGAGCATAATATATAGGCTACAGCAAGGTTCAATCTAGCTGCAGAGGAACACAACCGGGGTTGCCTGATATAAAGAGACATAATCCCTGAAACAGAGCTTCCCACTTGCACAATACAGAAATATCTGCTAAGTGTTACTTATTTTTGTCAACCTGGCAACCATGTGCACGCGCTCTCTCTCTCCACTGGATAAACGCGCCTGCTTTGTGAAAACACTGGTAAGCTTGCAGTTTAGCGATCTCCACTTCAATATTCTATTCTCAGAAAAGTGTAATTCATCAACTGTTTATTTACATGAGAGAGAGAGAGAGGCTGTGTGTGTATGAATTACCACCGTTTTGCCACGTTTCTCTATTAACAGTGAAGCTGTGGCTTTAATTATTTTAGAAACTGATGTTACCAGCTCCTTGTTGAGAAAGATAATGTAGCTCTTGAGCGATTAAGCTATTTTATTGATAATTTGTGTTGCTGAATGTCTGTGCACGCAAGCAACGTGACCTGTGTGAGTGACCAAGCGTGTGTGCGGGAGATTGTGAAGACACTGCACAAGTTTAGAACTCTTCTAATTTTTATTTTTATTTTTTTAAATGTAGAAAGTGTGTTAGTTTGTGCAATGATAACCTACCCGCAATGTAAAGATGATTTTTTAAAAATATATTAGTATAAGTACATTACAATATAAATGTATAAGAACGAGTACATTATTATTTATGGGCTTAAAAACAAGATGTAAACAATCAGAATATTGTACCTGGTGGGGAGTGGCCAATGTAAGCATGAAACATATGCCATTACCTATATTGTACTGTGGCACAGTTATGGAGGCCATTCATCATGCAGATGTCAACTGCCTGCTCTGCCAATAGTTAGAAATGGCACTATAGTATGCCGTATTTAATAAACAGCTGTTTTACTAAATTATGCTGAGGTGAAATTCAGTGCAGTCCTATATCGTGATATGTATCGTATCGTGAAAAGTCTTAGGCCATTAGTGTTTTCACCAACAAAAACACTACACATTTGCTGTAGTGTGTCAGTAGGAAATATCAGTTTACATTTCCAAACATTCCTTTTGCCATTAACTGTCCATCTAGAATTACTTGAAGAAACAGAAAAAAACTGAGACAGACTAAATCCAGTAGAACTGTGGCAACATCTCCAAGATGCTTCAAGAAACCTTCCTACAAAGCTACAGTACTGTGAAAAGTTTTGGGCACTTGTGTAAAAATGCTGTAAAGTAGGGCTGCACGATATATCGAAATATCGCAAATGTAAATATCGCAATATACATATCGCAAGGGTGTGCGATATCTGAATCATTTTAATAATGGGCTACTTAAGTCAAAAGGTCAATTTTAGTTCGACGCATGTAGCAGAAAATTGCTTGACGTTAAAAAGAGTTGTGCAATAAGCTGCAGAAAACAACTCTTTGCCGTCTCGTCTTGCTGTCTGACTCGCACCTGAAGCGCGCGCACAAACCGCATCTCACGCAGCGCATCTTCAGTTCTGCTGCACACGTGCAAAGCATGCGCACACAGAGAGAGAGAGATGCGTTTCAGACCGAGTTGATTCGCATCTCCTCATGTTTGAACAGACACATACACACAGAATTATGTCAATAGTACGTAAACGCAGCCGGTTATGTTTTAAATGAATGTAAACAGCTGAGAAAGAAATCGGATGTGTATCATTATACTGAATCCGTGCAGTCGGATTTAAAGGGACAGCAGCCTATAAATACGTGCTGCTGAATATGGCACTAATGTTAATCAAACAACAAACCGGCTATAACAAAGATTAATCTAAATTTAATTCATATAGTGAACACTATGCAGTGTTATTTTACACTTAATTATAACATTTCTGTATCTGAATACTACTGTTTATTTTATCTATGCTTGTAAATTGTGTATTTATCTTTTTTTCTTTCTTTTTTTAACTGACTGTTCACTTGCCTTTAATCATGTTTGAACTTTCTCAGACTGTAGTGTTTGCTGTGGTATATGAAGAAGTACTTAAAGTGTATGGAAAGCAAAGTTACAATGATATAAAATTAGTGTCATTAAAGGGGTCATATGATGCGATTTCAATTTTTCCTTTCTCTTTGGAGTATTGCAAGCTCTTGGTGCATAAAGAAGATCTGTAAAGTTGCAAAGACTAAAGTCTCAAATCCAAAAAAGATATTCTTTATAAAAGTTAAGAGTCAGCCACACCTACCTAAAACGGCTAGTTCTAACATGCCCCCACATGTCTATGTCACTATGTGGGAAGATTTGCATAACGCCGCCCAAATGTTCACACAAAAAAAGAAGGCGTAACTTTTATTCTCGCTGTAGTATTGTTGCCGCCGCCATGTCGTGAAGGCGCTGTGTGTTTCATTGTGAAAGCGAAACTACTTTGTTTGGCCTTCCAAAAGAGGACACAACTAGAAATCAGTGGTTAAGTTGTATTTACAACACTGTTCCAGAGCAGTACAAACCAAATATTCAGATGTGTGCAGCGCATTTTACAGAGGACGAGGACTGTTTCCTGGGAAAGTAGCCTACAATGCCGGTGTTCCGGTGAATTCAGTTTCCCCTTCGGCGCGCATGCTGACCCTATACAGTCTATGATGCTGACTCACAGCCTGTAAGTACGTTTTCATATTTAAAGGATTTGCCACTGATGATTCAAACGCGAGTTTTGAGCAGTGTAGAGTAGCGCTTGTTGTTTGTCGTTTCTCCAATCACAAATGCAAACATGGTTTTATGTTTACGCGGCGCGATGCAACGCGTAAGACAGTATGAGTGATTATAATCAGTAATTATGTCCCCACTGGATGAAACAAATGCCTCGTTTATAATGGGTTTTATTGGTTTTATCTCGTTGCGCCGGGACACGGCATCACAGTATGGTAAGGGACGTAACATTTCCGTCACGCGCTTGAGAAATTCGGCCAATCACAACGCACTGGATAGCTGGCCAATCAGAGCACACCTCGCTTTTCAGACCGATGAGCTTTGTAAAAATCGACTCGTTTCAGAAAGGCGGGGCATAGAGAAGAAACAATAATGTACAGTATGTGGAAAATGTTTTTTTTTTTACCTTAAACCGCATAAACACATTTCATTACACCAAATGCACAAAATAATGTTATTTTTTTAGCAAAGTCATATGACCCCTTTAATTATTAATGAACTTCTATTAGCTAAATCAAATCAGTATTTGGTGTGACCACCCTTTGGGTTTAAAACAGCTTTTGTCCTATATACACTTGCACATAGTTTTTCAGTAACGTGTCTTGGAGACGTTGCCACGGCTCTTCTGGATTTAGTCTCAGTTTTTTCTGTTTCTTCATGTAATCCCAGACCACACTAAGCTTTCCTACATCGACACAAGTATGACTTTCTTTTTTCTCATTTTCCTTTTATTTCCCTTTCCTCATCCCCTTTCCTTTTTTTTCTCCATCCACCCCATTCTCTCCTTTCTTTTTCACTTCCCTCCCCTTTCCTTTTCCATTTCCTACCTTTTCCTCTCCCTTCTATTCCATTCTCTTTTTATTTCTTTCATTTCTCTTTCCTCTTCCCTTACTTTCTGTTTCCCATTCCCATTTACTTTTCTCTTTTCCTTTCCCATTCCTCCCCTTTGCTTTCTCTTCCTTTCCATTTCCCATTCCTCTTCCACTTCCCCGTTTCTTTTTAATTCCTATATTTACATTTTCTCATCCTTCCCTTTTCTCTTCCCTTCCTTTTTCTTTTCTTTCCTGTTCTCCTTTCCTTCCTCCTTTATTTTTTTTTCTCTTCTATCCCTTTGATTTCCCTTCCATTAACATTTTCCCCTGGCTTTCTTTTTTTTGTTTATAATTTTATTTATTTATTTTTTTTCCAATTCCACTTTCTTTCCCATCCGTCCCTTTTCTCCTAATGTCCTTTCCCCTTTCCCTGTAATTTGCTTCCTCTTCCTTTCCCTTCCCTATTTTCTTTTCTTTTCCTCTCATTTCATAGTTCTGGAGACAGGGGAAAGGGGATTATTTCCAGGGTGTGATGTTCCTGGCAGAACTCAGCACCCCATCTGTCTGTCTGGGAAAAATACTCATCCAGGTACTAAACACACATTCACCCTGTCTTTCCAACTCCCTCAGTCTTTCTTTTGTTTAGTGAATGTATCTTTCTTTTTTTAACAACCTAGGTAAGCAGATTTTTTGCACCACTCTTTCTTTTCTTGGAAATGTATTCTACCAGATTTACTAATCTTAAAACATCTAGTTGATTGACAATGATCTTTCACAGACTTTTGTATTGTAACGACTCCTTCTTGTTACACGTCTCCTTCACAGCTTCAGTGTTAAATGTGTAGTGGGGAATATTGAATCATGGTTTTCAGGGTTCATTGCTCTGCCTATTAATATCTTTCTAGCTGTTAAACGCTCTATTTCTTTGCTTCTTGCTCTCTCCTTTGTTTCCTTTTTCTCAGTATAAGCAACAGCACACTCTCCTACATAAAGTCAATGGAGCTCTTATGCTGGTCACTTTCTTCATCTGCAGAGTTCTTCTCTTCCCCTACCTCTACTACGCCTACGGCAGGTAACGATCACTTTAACTCTCTGTCATTCAGTCTTTTACCATGTCTTTTTTTTTTCTATTACTCATGTAGTCCTTTTATATTCTCGTTCTCCACTGAGTTACACTGCCGCTGATATTAACATTTCAGACATAAGCATGAACATCGTATTTCTCTCAACCCAAAATTTGATTTGAACATGAGACGTACAGTATAATCCTCTTGAACGATTGTAATAACCACCAGAGATCATGAGCTGTGTTGCTTTAGACAAACCTTACCCTGGATGGCATGTTCTAATTTTAAAATTGCAATCTTGATGTATTATTCATAAGATTGGAAATTTGAGCATCCTTAGACTTAACACTTGTGGTCCTAGTTACATTTTCTGAGTATGATCTTTAGTGGCAAACTTTATAGTTATCGTTATAATTATCCTCCTTGTGAAAGGAATCCCGTCCTAAAAAAAAGAGCCATGTGCCAATTGGTAAAGACTTTGCATTACTGCTGCGGATTACATAAAAACAGTCCATTTCTAGAGACACACCCTTGGGACTGCACATGTGCATTGGCTGGACCAACCTGAAAGGTGCATTGTTTTTTGTGATTTCTATATTTCCCCATTCAAGTAGATAGGAGTTGGTCTTGCATGCCTGACATAACAGCGCGGAGGCATTGCAATTATGCCTGTTGAGTGACCTGGCTTTCCTTGAAAGGGACTTTCAAGGAAATTCCCTTTCAAGGATTATACCGAATACCTCTTTTTACTTGTTTACTATATGCTGACTCTGTGCATATTTTTGTTTGTGCTCATATCACAGGTACGCATCCATCCCCTTCTACATGGTGCCGCTGTCTGTGCCCTGGCAGTGTAACGCAGGTGCAGCTTTGCTCATGGCCCCGCAAGTCTACTGGTTTTCCCTCATCTGCAGGGGTGCCTTCCGTCTCTTCACCGGAGCCTCACGGCACAAAGCGACCCCTAGAAGCACAGACTCTGAACCGAAAACCTCACTCCTGCCCCCTGCCAACGGATACAGCCCCAGAGAGACTGACTCGCACTGAGAAAGGAGTAGAGATAGAGATGTAGGTACGGGGTAGTTAGGTTTAGACCAAACAGGAGACTGAAGGCAGATCATCTTATTACAATGGGTGGATCTACCTTAGACCCAGCGGTGTGGGTTAGCAAGCAAAGAAACTGAAGGTCTGTACCATTCACCATCATCCTCTCTTTGAGAAGAAAAAGAAGACTGCAGACCAAACCAAACAGATAGTTTTCTCCCTAACATGCATGTTCTCTGTGTTGGAGCAGTAGGTCAGGGAAATGTCATCTGCTGCTTTGAAGGGTTAGTGCATCATTTGTAGATTACCATGGCCATAAGCTTCAGAAAAAGGGACTGATGTGGATGCAACGGGAACAGTATTTCTAATGAGTGATGGATGGAAGGATTGATAGATCCCTCCTGTTCTCCTCTCTGAGAATTCTCCTCTCTTGAGAGTCTCTCTCTGTTTGTTACAGTTGCAGAGAAGATACGAAAAGGAATCAGAAACTTCTCAGTCGATTTGTACATAAGTTTTTATTAATATTTACGTTGAATTCCAAATAGATTTTTTATTTATTTTAGATTTTTGTAGAATCTGTTTATTTATTATTTATTCAGTCCTATTCCTAATTACAGGTGGATTAGTTTAAAACAAAACCGTTCACTTCTAAAAAAAAAAAAAATAAAAAACCCTGACGCTGTTGGATTCAAAACAACCCCTCATATCCTCACTGTGGGTGCATGGCCTCCTTCCAGCTGTCCATCTCTCTGTTTTTCCCTTTCCTAGTTTTCATGACGGCTGAAAACAAGACGGCTGCGGCTGCGTGCAGTTAGTTAGTGAATCAGCAGTTATAAAGTAGAAGGGGGGTCATTTAAAGGATTTGGATGAGGCTGAGGTAATGCATATCTCTGCTGCAGTACTCCAATCCTTTTAAGATCCAAACATTGGACAGAGGGGGAAGGGACCGAGCTGCCCAGTAAAATGCTGCACTTGAAAATCAGGCTGAAGTTGGCAAGACACTCAGACGAACCTGAGCCAATCGGTTTGTTCTTTTCATACAGTTTTATGTGAGGAGAATGCCAGCATAATGGCCCTCGCTAACCTCTAAGTCAGTGATCCTCAAATCTGGCCCACGAGATCCACTTTCCTGCAGAGTTTAGCTCTAACCCTAATCAAACACACCTGAGCAAGCTAATCAGTGTCTTCAGGATCATTAGAAAATCACAGGTAGCTGAGTTTGTTCAGGGTTGGAGCTAAACTCTGCAGCGCATTGGACCTCCAGGGGGAGATTTGAGGAACCCTGCTCTAAGTAGACCCACACCACAATATGGATTCTATGCTACCACTGATTGTAATCTGCACATTGAATAGGTAACAACTGTGTTTTTTCTCCACAGACGAGATGTTTCTTAACTGCTTCTTTTCAAGCAGTCAACCTTTGTTTCTGTCCAGATATATAGGAGGTCCACTGATGATGCGTTTTGTCACCAATTAGTCCTCACTTTTATGGTAAAAGTGTCATTGGTGTAACGGTGTCATCACATACCTCCCTTAGGCCTGAATCTTTTGCTTTGCTCCCGAACAGGGATGCCAGTTTGACGTTAAACAGTATTATTAAGGGTGGAAATGAGAGGATGGCGCACAAGGTGGATTCTAGAAGTGAATCTTGCACTGAATTATCACAAGGAGGGGTGCTAAACAAACATCCAAATCTGTGAGATACTGTAATACGTTTAAAAGCACTGCATAGATCATTTAGATAAATGTTCTGGACCACTATAATTGGAGTCGTTTTATAGATTAGTTATGTTTCTGTTACGCACTAGAACATTTTTGTTTTGTTTGCGTTACAGTTCGCCTGTATGCCAAAACGCATCCATGTAGCCTTAGAAGTGATGCTTTCAACATGCTCTTTACACAAAGTACTACTGGATTGTTTTACACTGGGTCATCACAACGCTCAAAGGGACTGCCCAGTGCTGGGCATGGATAGGGGCCAGTATTTTCAACTATAGCAAAGTATACTGGTTTGTGAATGGGTAAAATTCTTTAGCTAGGAATGAGTATCTTCTGACTTTTTTAAAAATGTTATGCTTAATGTTAATTTATGTATTTATTTGGCCAAGTCTGAATGTACATATGAATCCACTTCTAAATGTTCTTCTAAGTGGGCTTCTGTTTATCTAGTTGCCTGAAGTCTGTTCTGTAATTCTGGTTTTCTCATCTGAAATATACTCTTGCTCTCTCCTGCTGTGCTCGCATGCTTTGTTTGACCTCCTTTTATACTGAAACAAAGGCTCTGTGTCACTTGCTTAGTGTGTGTGATTGTGTGAGAGGGTAAAAGATAACTGCATTGCAATTAACGTTAGTGAAATGAAATTTGCCTGTATGTTTCTTTAGTATATTGAAGCACCATGCCAGTTACTCTTGGTTTCCTTATTCACAAATTATGGTCCTAGTTATGTTAAATGTGCAGTAAAAATGCCGCGTCAACCGATAGTTTTTACTAAAAAAAAAAAAGGTGTCTTGAGCTATCACACTCGTCTCTGTAAAACAGCAGATCGAAAGAGTTGGTGAGCGGCTCGCTGTTGTGAAGCCAAACAGAGAATACAGTTTTGTTAGAGGTGTTGTAGAAAGAGAAGTGAACTCAGAAACCGGAATGGTCACGTCGACACCGTGTTCTCAAGTTAATGATAAGAATGTATTGAAGTATAATTTAAATGAACCCTATCAAACCTAAATTCAGGATAATCTTATCATACATCAGCTCACAGAATGACCGATTCCCGGTAAGTGAAACACCAAAGAGGCTTTTACATTGTAGTGCATTTCCATTACTCGACTGTTTTTACTAAATCTAGATTTACGGGTTAGTTTACAACACGTTTTCCAGCAGGCTGAATCTCTTCTCACATCGTGAAAGCGCTTCTGATTGGAATGTCTTTGAGGAAAAGGTAAACGGCGCCTCCTGGTGGCCAATGTTTTTACACTTGCTCTATGATCTTCCATCTAGCGCAATAAAGCCAGCTCATTGATGTGTTGTAGCTGAATCATCTCTAACGCCTGTGGTGCATTATTTTTCACAGCGCCAACTGACCTAATAAGTTATTATGTGGATATTTGCTTGTTCCTGTTTTTTCCCTCAAAATTGAACAAATAACACAGTAAGTGTGAATAAAGATTTGTTGTAAAACTGTTCCAAACAAACGGGTTGGTACAGAGTTTATAGGCTTTAGTTTGAACAAACAACCGAAATATATATTTTTTTAATACACCAAATATGAACCACGCATTTACCTGATACTAATTTGTATTAATATGATTAAACAGTGATTAATTTGAACCATTGCACAACATTTTATAATTGTTTCGAATCGTTCATCAGAAGGAAGTTCTGGGTTGTCAGTTATCAGTTCTTATTTTAGTATTTAAACACACACACACATAGCTACATGTACTTATTAGATAAGTCAACCAACCCCACTTACACGCTTTTCATTGATGATGAGAGTTGCAAGCATTCAGAGGTTGTCTCTTTTTGTACCCCTGTCGCCCACCAGCCTCGGTCGTCTCAGCCGGAGCGCGGAGCGCGGAGCAGAGCGGCGGAAGGAGGGAGGGGTTTGAGCCGCGCCGGGAAACTAGAGGCTTGATGCAGCCTCCGCCGAACGAAGTCAGGCTGTCTCTAGACCGCAATGGCTATGGGTCTAACGTCGAAAAAATCGTCTTCTAGAAACAGCGGCGTGGAACGCAAGAATCTCATCACCGTCTGCAGGTAGTTTATTGCATGACACACACACAGCTGCTTTCCACAACACGAAGCGCGTTTTCAGTTAGCTTGTAATGTACCAATAACACCTAGGTCATTAAAACTGTCAAAATGTGTTTTTATCATTTTTTTTTAACTTTAATATATTTTATTAACTAGAACATAGGATATAGCATCTTTTCTGATTTACATTTTTTGCCTAAACGCTTAATATTGAAGATGAGGCCCTTTAAGGACGCCGGCCCCTTAGTTCACACCAGCATCCATGACGTCATTACATCCATCCGACCATTTTCATCGCTGTGCACTCCACAGCCTAAAACCACATGTCCTTCACCCTCACAGAGCCTTTCACTAAAAAATAAATAAGTTAAGGATGACTTTAGTAAAATATTTTTTCTCAAATAGGGGCTACACACATAAACAGGACCATACTATAGCACTGAACTGTACTCGATGTATCTATTAAAGTTGATATGAAATCAAAATGTGACCCTATTTACTTTCTTAATGCACGTTCCTTGTCTTGTGTGAAAGATTCATCCTCAGTGCATGGGATGTTATCTCTACCTTAACTTTTTTTCCCCCTGATGTCACTTAGTCCATACAGGCTATTGGATGATGTTAACCAATAGCCAAATATATATATATATAATGTTGATTCCCCTTGCAATTACTGCAAATGATAATGTCAAATGCAAATCATATTTTAAACAAACTGTGTAAGCATTCATTTTCCACTGTATTATTTTATTGATCACCAAATCACACTAGAATGAATGTATTGTCAACTTTGTTTCATTTGCGTCATTCATTGAGCATGCCAGTGAATAAGTCGGTTTACTAAATCAATCAACTACTAAATAGTAGTTTACGGGTGTTTCATCAAATCAGAAATGTTTTTCTAGCCCTTATCAGGAGATCCACATCGTAAGGATCTTGACTTTATGGCACACTAGTCATTGCTTTCATAGACTGGAGTGTCTCAGCCCAAAGCTACTTATTGTACGCTTGCAATACTATGTGCGCATTTTGTCCCAGCACACTGTGCGTTGGTGAGTCATGGCTGAAGCGTATGAGGAACACTGAATTCCATCACTGCATTCTGTTCTGCAGGGCTGTGTGGGACTGCACCAGTGCTGCACTTTACCGGTCGGTTGGTACAGCGCAGTAAGTGGGTGTTGAATAATTCATGTTTGGGGGCGCCCCAGGCATAGGCCATGTACAGTTGCTGAATGGACACAGAACACTGTCACTCCTGTTGGGACAGCAGCACCATTGTGCTGTCATAATGGAAATGCTGTCAAAGAGATGATTGTGATGTGGCAAGCTGTTGTGACATCATCATCCCTGCAGTAAAAAGGAATATGGGTTCTAGATGGGTTAATACTAATGGATAAAAAAAAAGTATTCTTAGTTCCCAACATTTTGAATTATATATGGAGAACATCACGAAAATAGATCTTCATTAATGTCAGCACATATTTATTAAGTATACAGCACCATGGCTAGAACCAAACTTTCTGAGGTTCTACCATCTGGATGGCATAATGTAGGACTTGTTAAACACATGAAACACATGCTATGCTAATGCAGTGTGGAAAAATGAGCAAGAAAGAATTACAAAAGTGGACTTCAGACTTCACAGATTATTATAAACACAAAGACGCTTTTGTTGAAAAGGGCAGAGGCCTTTCTTCGCTACCCACATCTTTTGTCTGGCCATGCCAGAGCTGTTTGTTACATTAAACGACAAATTACACAGGACAAAGGACTTGACGAGAAAAGAAAAAAAAAGATTTTTGACTCTTAATTAATGGCTGCTAGCAAAGAAATCTCAAACACTGCTTAATTAAATTGGATCGTGATTAGCTCCGATTACTTGGTGCTCTGAGAGAGTAGCTAAAACCTCCCATGCTTCTGTCATGTGTCTGTATTTCTCTGGTACATTGAGATCAGGAGACCATTTCGTTTATTTCCTTCACTCTCAATCATCAAACCCTCAGCCCCATTGTCATGTCTCTCAGTCCACAGTGAGATGCCCATTAATGAAAGTTGTTGTTCAGTCTTTAGAGACCTTTAAACCAGGTTGAAAGGCTGAATGGTCAGGGACATTTAAATTTGGCCCCTAAATCACACTGGGCAGTGTAGTCTTCATGCTAGCTGATCTAAGCTGGAAATCAGGAGCAGATCTAACCAATATATTTATCTAAAGCATCTTTGTTAAAACTGAGAGCTGTTGACATTGTGGAGAAGGGTTCTGACCAACAGAAACATGGTTAGTTTCATTCCCCATAACCTACTCCCTTATCTCAAAGCTGAGTTTGTTCTGCGCTAAGATCGAAACATTAGTGATGTTGCAATTCTTCAGCTTTTTTTTTTTCCAATGGTTACACATACAGTCTGGATCACTGACATACTATAACTATAGACAGTTTACACAGTTTCAGTTTTCTACTTTTTCAGTTTTTACACTCAAACTAAACAAATGTCAGTTTTCAGAGGGGATAAATAAAGGTTTCATTTTAAGGGCACTCATAACATGTTTGTCGGTTGGTTTTTACTAATGGAAAACCTCGAATGCACTGTAAGTTGTTTTTTTTGGATGAAAGAATATTCCAAACATTGTTTTCATGTAACAAGGCAAGAGCTCAGTGCTTTGAACCATGAGATCTGTCAAGCTGAGTTTGTTCTGCGCTAAGATCGAAACATTAGTGATGTTGCAATTCTTCAGCTTTTTTTTTTTCCAATGGTTACACATACAGTCTGGATCACTGACATACTATAACTATAGACAGTTTACACAGTTTCAGTTTTCTACTTTTTCAGTTTTTACACTCAAACTAAACAAATGTCAGTTTTCAGAGGGGATAAATAAAGGTTTCATTTTAAGGGCACTCATAACATGTTTGTCGGTTGGTTTTTACTAATGGAAAACCTCGAATGCACTGTAAGTTGTTTTTTTTTGGATGAAAGAATATTCCAAACATTGTTTTCATGTAACAAGGCAAGAGCTCAGTGCTTTGAACCATGAGATCTGTAAAAGTGAATGGCAGTAAACCATCATTGATATAGGGCAAGTTTAAGAGGTTTAAGACATGATGAAGTGTAAAATAGGGCGTGATGAATGCCTCCTAGGTCACAGTCGAGAGGTAAGAGTTCCAGCGGTCAAAGAAAGGCTCTTGTTGATGTCCCCATGTCTCGACTTTCCGATATAATGGAATGGCCAGTTTTGCTCATCTCCTTGATAAAGGTTTCCAGACAGCTGAAGCTAGTAATGTAAAGGTGTGGACTCTGATGATTCAAGAACTCTGCAAAGATGAGCATTTGAATTCAGTGTCAGTCTTTGTACAGTACAATCAACAGCTTTAGTTTTGTGTATGACTTTTCATCTAAAATAATATACAGAAGTCATTGTAGATTAAGTTTAATGGGACTTAAAAAAAAGGGGACATGGTTGTCTTGATTCCTTCAACTACCTTCAATTAGATTTTTCTATTTCTCTTAAAGGTGCTGGAGATCAGTATCTTCCAGACATTTTTAAAAGGGTTGGAATTGGGTACCAATTGTTGTATTTTCATCTTCATCCTTGAGATCTAGTTCTTTGACCATCTGATTTCCTAGGAACATATCAAAATCATATTTATTTTATCAAACATGTCTTGGCACCTTGACTGGTTCTTCCATGATCAACTTTAACTTCTAACTCAGAGCAATGAGGCTAAATGCACAAATACACAAACAATCATTTTCACTTACTTAGCTTCTCAGCACATACCTAACCCACTGAACTATCCTCCAGTTATAGTAAGAATTTTTCATTGTTGTCTGTAAGATGTGCTACAATTAAATTTCATTTGAATTTGATAAAAGTTTGTATTTTTAATCTGCAGTCACTTTAGGGCAGGGATCCTCAAATCTGGCCCACGAGATCCACTTTCCTGCAGAGTTTAGCTCTAACCCTAATCAAACACACCTGAGTATGCTAATCAATGTCTTCAGGATCATTAGAAAATCACAGGTAGCTGAGTTTGATCAGGGTTGGAGCTAAACTCCGCAGCGCATTTGCCCTCCAGGGCAAGATTTGAGGAACCCTGCTCTAGGGGATTTTTACTGAGCAGTTATTGGGTGGGAAAGCTTATCCAGAATTAGCAGACAATGTTGGTACTGCCTACAAGAAGGGCGAGGGAAGAGGGGTGAAAGAAGTATATTAAAAAGCTAAAAACAGAGAGTGGGAGGGAGATGTAGAGAAAGGATGATTGGTCAGGCTTGGGAGAGGATAGCCAAACAGGGAAAAAGTGATGACTTATGGAAAGGGTATTGGAGAGAGGACACAAAACATAACCTGAAAGAAGGAGGCTCAAAAACAATCTGGAGTTATAATCAGTAATCTGTAGGTTTTAAAAGCTGAGAACAAACCCGAACTGGGAGGCTATTTTGAAAGGTCATAGCGTATAGTCAGAGGTGCCTTGAAAAAACTATCAAAATCTTAAGAGCAAGTGCTATGAAGTAATATTTCATAGAAGGGTCTGGCTTTTTGGCCTGTTACCAAAGTGGGCGAGACCAAGGACACAAAAGCCATTTGTTAAGTGGCTGCACATTTGTTTTTCAGTGTCAAATCGTACCAAGACAGTCTTGCTGCCACATTTCTCTATTTAGCATTTTATCCCTCACCCTGCTGACCCTCAGAAACTTGCATCTTTATATTTTCACTACACTTTACATTTACGCATTGTACAGTTGTCAAACTTTGTCATATCTTTGTGTTTTTCACTGCTCTTGTGACCAGGCGTTGTGTGCAATCAATGCATTTGGTTGGCTGGTGTTGAGAGTTAACCTTCCTGCAATGATTAGCATTGTTCACGGGGCGTAGGATTGCCATACACTTGTGGAAAACACCTCTTGGTTCAGCCATAGAGCCAAAGAGAAAATCAAGAATCAAGAATGTTTGTTGTTTAAAGGATTCGAATCTAACTGGGTTGTTATTACAGATGCACACATTTTGCTCTGGCCAAATGATGAAGCAATGAAACGGGCACAATCAAACAACTACACGTGACTAAACTGAAATTCAAGCTGTTAATTAGCACCATTAAATTGTTATGTGTTACATAATTTTATTATTGCTACAAATAAAAGTCCATGGCATAACCATCATCCTTTGGAGTTGGATTCATTAAGTACTAACCTGTATCCAGGATGTATTCCAGAGAAATCTTAGGTAAACAAAAGAAGAGACTTGGTCCAAAAGGTAAAGTTTTTGTTTTGAATGGCAAAAATTATTCAAGATGCAGTAACTTATCTCCAAAGAAGGTAGGCTCTGATGATGATGATGATGTTTCCTCAGCTGTTGGTGATATTTGCCTATATTTTATTTGTTCCCAGCTTGGTGAATCTGTCCCCCATCCCACTCCCAGCACCCTACACCCTCCCCAAAGATTCGGCCTTACTCCCCATTAAAGAGTCTTCCTCTTGGGCATAAAAGCTTTTCGGAAGGACGTAGTCTTGGTACCTCGGCTGAAGGAAGCGGCTCCCATGGAGATCTTTGTCTTGCCACTGGTGATGGTGGAAGAGCCCAGGGCTGTTGTGCTCTTCCCACGGGAGATAGATGAGTTTCCCATCATGATCTTGGTCTTGTCTCTCTTGATCGATGTGCTCCCCAGGCTGAGGGCCGTCTTGCCCTCTGTGATACTGGTGTTACCCATGGCGGAACCTAAGGTGGTGGCGTTGAAGCTCCAGGAGGTCTCCTTCAGCAGCCAGCCTAGATGACCTGACCTGGAGCACGTTCAGGGTTCAATTTTCTCAACTCTCCCTTGGGAAGCTTCTGCTCTCCTGATTCTACAGGACGAGGTTATGATGGCTCATCGCGTGCCCTGGCAGCAATGCATCCCAATGCACACAGATAGTGTCTGGCTGGGTGTGACAGTCCAAACAGTTGGGACCAGAATGCTAAGCGTAGTGAGAGCAACCCCCATGCAGCATAAAGCCCTTGTTGAGCAGTATAACGTGGGCTCCGCAAGGCCACATACCTCCCCTGTCTGGCGTGAATGGACAGAGGCTGCCGTAGGAGGCCTTAGTTCTATCTGGGGGCAAAGCGGACAGTAGACTGCATTGTCCCATCGCTAAAGCAAGGCACTGAAGAACACATTGTTGAGCGACACAATTGATGGTGACATCACTCAGTTCCGTGGCTTTGTGCCTCCCTAGAACCACTATCCAATGTTATACTGTACACAGTTGATTGCTGAGACTCAAGGGTGTGGTCTGCTTTCATGAGTTTTATGTTATGTCAGACCCCCAAAATGTATAGTCAAATTAGTTATCGTCGAAGCATTGTGTTGTGTTCTGTCCAATTGTAAAAAATGAAAACCTTTTCTATTTAGCCAACTCTTGAGATTCTTGCTTCTTGTGCAAGCTACTAGGGAAAGCCAGGTTCACACTAAGATTTTGGCTTCTTGTTAATAAATCTGAAACTGACAAAGTTCTGGCAGTGTAAGAAATTTTGCGTCACAGTCGTGCAGTCTGACCGCCTCTACTAGTTGTCGATGGGGACCAAAGTCTTGGCTACGATTGCATAGTCTGACATAAAAGAAACATTACAGTGCGCTGTGGCTTTTACCTAGATCTGATTTGGATCACATTGTATATTTTGACAAACAGTGTGTGCCCAGCTATAGGTATAGTGAAATAAACCCTCTGAAATATTTTAGAGGTACAATGTTTTAACCATTTCAAAGATCTATTTATTGACCATTCTGATTTAATTAATTGTTATACTGGTTGATTTATGCTACACTTAATGTACGATTAAGAAGTCAAAGAATTAACAATGCACATTTTAATTGAAAGGCAATGGTTGAAGTTAAAACTTTTTACTATGACTTGGTTAGTCCACTCAAATGATACAATTCCATTTGCAAAACAGAATCTCAGATCTGGATTCTGGATCATTATCCAACTTAGACCCTTCTGCATGTGAACAACAATAACAGCCATTCTAGTTGTGGCAGTGCACATCCTCACACATGTATGCATGTTCTCTTCATGAAAACCAGATTGGTGTCTGATCTCTGCACATGTTCTCTCAGACAAATCTTTATCTTAAAATCAACTGTATTCTCTTTCAGTGACAAAGGTGTCATGCTCAATTCCAAGCTAATTTAAGATACACTTGCACTTTGTTTTGCATCTAGAATGCATTTGTGTGCGATTCTAGAGCAAGCTGGCAAACACTTGCATCTTACAAGACATCCAACCTGCTTAAATGCTCTACTACAAAGTTAATCTTTGTGGACACACATACACATATACTGTACATATACTGTTTACAGTTATATTGGTGTCTTTAAGTCACAGATGAAAATCCCAGTAGAGATTCCATTGCGTTTCTTTGCCTCTTTTGAGAGAAGTCTTAACTACAGCAACCAACTTCTCCCCTTGACTTAAAGGGGCCTTGCTCAAAGAACTAGTAGTCTCCCTGTGAGTGATTGTAGTTGTACCCACCACAAACGCAGTCTCTCCCTTCCTCAGTTTGGTCTTGCTCCTCGAAAGAACGGTCTTCCCCCATGAGATGGCTTTTTTGCTGTTCATCAGTTTGATTTTCCCTTTTGTAAAGCAGGTCTTTCTCAGTAAAAGAAAAGCATTTCCTTTTGAGGCTTTTGAGTCGTCCTCTTGCTGTATATCTGTTGTCTCATCCTTCTCACTGCTCTTTCTTGCTTTTGAAGTCTTGGTGTTTGTTTCAGTGTTTATAGATCTCCTTTCCATCTACTTGGTCCGGCGCTTGGGCATGAGGGCCTTACGGAAGGAGGTTGTAGTTTTGCCTCGGCTGAAGCTGGCTCTGCCCAGAGAGATGGTGGTCTTGCCTCTGGTTATGGTAGAGTCGCCCATAGAGGTAGTGGTGACCCCACGGGTGATTGAGGACTTGCCCATGGTGATGGAAGTCTTGCCCCGGGCTATTGAAGAGTCGCCCACAGACAGGGCAGTCTTCCCTTCCGTAATATTGGTGTTCCCCATGAAGGCATGTAGGTCATCAGGTCTTCAGACTCTCAGTTCTCTCTCTGTTTTCTCTATCCTTTGAGTGGGCTAGAGTATTAGCATTCCAGCGCCTTGCAGGTTTGACTGTTCTGGGAGAAAACTGTACACAGTATCGGGACAGCCCTAAATAGATCACACCACCAATTCAGCAAGTGGGTGGGCGGGTGGAGAAAGTGAGCGTGAGTGTGTTAGGATACGAGGGAGATTTGCTCACTATACTGTTGCTTTTAAAAAAACAAAACACAAAAAAACCTACAGGCGCAGAGGATGGAATGGAACCCAGGCGAGGACAAAGGTCTCAATCCCGACAAGTAGTATAGAGCTGTTGGCAGAGGCACAAGGACTCCAATTGTGATGGCAGGAGTGGTAACGTGAATATGCCATCAAAAGGGCATTGTTTAGCACACAGGACAATTGGGATTGACCTCAGCAGTCCGCTGTGGCACCGCTCCCGAAAATGCCTGTTACATCAGTCAGAATGGCAGCGTTGAGTGGGGCCTGCACCGATGCTAGTGTTTGTGTCTGCCTGTCAGATGCTAATCATACTGTTATTACTTTGTGGTATTTCATCAATGCGTGGTTTTGTTTTTCTGATGAATTTGGAGTTTCCAAATCGTACATGTTAAGTAGCATATCTAGTGTGACTAAATTTGACTATATATTGCCTCTGTTTCTCTCTCAGGTTTTCTGTGAAGACGTTGTTGGAAAAGTACACTGCTGAGCCTATTGATGACTCATCAGAGGAGTTCATCAACTTTGCGGCAATTTTGGAGCACATCCTCAGTCATCGTTTCAAAGGTATATATTTAAACAACTTCCTGTCAATTCCCAATGTGTGTTGGTACTCGTGAATAATCTGGGGGGATTTTTATTTTATCAGGTCCAGGTGGTTGGTTCAGTTCAGATGGCCAGAGGAGTTTCTGGGACTATATCCGTCTGGCCTGCAGTAAAGTCCACAACAACTGCATCAGTAGCATTGAGAGCATTGAGAACATTAGCACGTCACGAGCAAAGGTGAGACGCTTTCATCTTCAAGCACTCTATATCTTTACCCACTTGAGATGATTAGCATAGCATATGTTTTGTTTTGGATGCTGGTCCCTACCATGGAATGCTGGTGTGCTGATTTATTCCATTTTGCTTTACTAGCAAAGCTTCATCTGTAACGGTTTACTCTCTTGTTGTCCTACAGGGACGAGCCTGGATTCGTGTAGCTTTGATGGAGAAGCGTTTGTCTGAATATGTAGCCACTGCGTTAAGAGACACTCGAACTACAAGGTTATAACTCTGCACTCTTTCCAATGAGTTTGACAGCTGTCTTTATCATTTCAAAGTAATTTAATAGATTTGTAAATCTATATTTGCCGCTGCAGGAGATTTTATGATGATGGTGCCATAATGCTAAGGGAGGAGGCTACCGTTCTGACGGGGATGCTAATTGGACTCAGTGCTATTGACTTCAGGTAAAAACACTGCATTCATGACAACTCACAAATGACACTTACTTCAGCGGGAATGTGTTTTTATTCTTTTCTTTTTTTCCCAGGAATGTGTCATTTATTAGTCACTAGTGGCACCAATTAGAATGTTTTCACACCATAGACTGTATAAAAACATGGATGTAGTGTCCATGACGTCACCCGTAGATTTCCGAAGAGCGTTTTTGAAGCTCAAAAGTGGGCGGAGGCAGCCGTCGCCATCTTGGCAGCGCGTCACTGCGTGTCACTCCCGGATAATCGAAAATGGGCAAAGAGGCAGGAGCAGGTTGCTGAAGCCACGCCTACCAAGCTCGATGGTGGTGACAGCAGCGGCAATCCACCTGTCACTCAAGTGGCCACTCCCTTAATTATGCAGAACTTTAAGGCTTAATATAATTTAAACGGATGAGTTAAAAATTCACCCCTCTCACAGTTATGATGAAGGGCAAAATTAGCTATATAGACCAAAATAATTTTTTTAACCAGGCTGTAAACGTTTTTTTTCTGCTGTAAAGTTGGGCATTTTAACATGGGGAGTCTATGGGATTGACTTCCTTTTGCAGCCAGCCTCTAGTGGCCAGTCGATGAATTGCAGTTTAAGTCACTTCCTTGTTGGCTTCACGAGAGAGAGCGGGAGGTTGCCACTTGGTTCACACCAATTAGTGTGATATGATACTGACTGTTTGTCTTTTTTTTGGCCAACATTAGTTTCTGTCTAAAAGGAGAAGTTTTGGATGGAAAGACACCTGCAGTGATCGACTACACACCTTACCTGAAGTTCACCCAGAGGTAGGTTTGCATTTGCTGGCCAAACCCAAATCCTAAACCTTATAGTAGCCTTTAAAATGGCATTACTGCTATTGATGTGCCTCTGCAGCTATGACTACCTGAGTGATGAAGAAGACCGCCGCAGTGTGGACAGCAGTGCCAGTGATGAGAGTGTTGCCGAGCATCCTTACATTCCTTTGGTCACAGATGAAGAGACCTGGAGCAACAAATGCAGAAAGATGGAGCAAAGATTCAAGATTGTCTATGCCCAAAAGGTATTGTGTGTTTTTGACTTCCAGTCACTGGGTGATTTGGTTGTAATCCAACTTAAGTTGGTAGCTTGTTTCTTGCTGGTCCAAGATTGTCTAGCAACTAATGACCAATTTGGATCAGACTGACACACAGCTACCAGCAGTGGATTAAAGCAGAAATAGTGCATTCATATACTAATCCATAAATCCCTGTGATTTTAGGGTTATTTAGAGGAATTGGTCCGCTTGAGGGAATCCCAGCTGAAAAATTTAGAAACTGAGAACAAGAGGCTAGTTGCTAAACTAGAGGAACTACAGGTCCAGAGTCGACAAGAGAAGAAAGAACTGGAGGCCATTATATTGGAGCTACAAGCACAACTGTATGCACACACACACTATCACACCTTCTGCATTTGTGTCAACTAGAAGTCTCTAATGGCTTTATTCTGGTATGTTTTGCAGCACTGGCATAATTCCTCGTCAGTCCTCTCGTTTGGGATTCAAAGGACTGTCTATTCCACTCATTAACCAATGCACAACTGCACAACCCGCCAACAACAAAGGAAATGTAAAGCTGTTCCGTCGGTAAGCGCTGACTCAAAATTGGAAGACCCTCACCACACCTTGTTTAACACCTTGGCAGTGGCTCAGAACACCTTAGCAATTACATCCCGGAAATCACCTGTATCACAGGAAAGCACTATTCAGTCTAGTCATGAAATTATGTTTTTGGGTTTAGGAGGAGTTTTCACAGTTTGGATCTCTCAGCTGATGTGAGTTTGAACTCTGACTCTCAGAAGGAAGACGGCATTCAGAATGGAGACGCAACCTGGTCAGCAGGTAAAAGCATGCAGATTAACACACAATACAATAATGTCTGAATACTGATTACTAATGAACGTTCCTTCTCTTCTCTTCTCGTCAACAGCTAAAGACAACACTCCCTCTATGCTCGGTCTATGTGGTTCTTTGGCTTCTCTACCCAGCTGTAAGTCACTGGCAAGTCTCAAATCCACTGAGTATTTGGTCAACATCAGCACAGAGCCTAGTCCTGCCCTGTCTCCTAGCTAGGGGGCGCCAAATTCCAACTAACAAGACGCTCTCAGTCCCAGTACTTTCCTCCAAGAAACATCACAACTGTCCTACCAACATCCTTCAAAGATCCCAGTGAGCTGAAACAATGTAATATATATACACAAGGTGTGGAATGGCAACCCCTCCAGCACTCGCTTATTTTCTTATCTTTACTTGCCAATTTATTATTCACTCTTGTCTTCCACCCTTCAGTACAGTCTTCTTCAGCATGTTTGAGTGTCTGTAACATTCCCTGAGCCTGATATTACAGCCCAAAGGCACAGCAGCTTATCTCTGTTCGTTTTGAACTCATTAGTCCTTGAATTCCCTGCACAAACAGATCAAAGTGAAACACAAAACTCAAGACTTGGCAGTTATTTATTCTACATAAATTCATCTTAATGAATATGAACATACAGAGTGGCACATCTGTTCATGTTACCCACAGTTGAATCTCTGATTTAGACATATTACCTTTCTTATGCTTATTAATAAAAGATATGAGGGAACAAAAGAGAGACCAAGGAAAGAACTGTTGCCTGTATCTGCATGTCAAATGCGCTTTATTGAGGCTTTAAATGCCTCGGCTTACTTTATGTTCTTGCTCCTTTGACGGTTATATTAAGTGACTGGAAGTAACTGCAAGTGTTGTCAGCTAAATTCAAATCTTTTGTCATGTTTATCTTACTGGTGTTGCTTCATTTCTTGTATTTCTTCAGTTTCGGTATGTATACATAATTGTCTATTTTGTTATGCGGTGGCAGTGCTCTGCGGTTTTGAATTGAAATAAACGATTCTTTTATCTCAACTCGCACTTGTTTATATAAATATTTCAAAGCCTATAAATCTCACATTCTTTTCCCAGAATGCTTCAGGGCAAACAGCAGAGTCATAACAATAGCAGCACTTCCTGGGAGAACTCGACATCTAGTGGATATTGCTTATAACGGCTTTGCTACGCAGGGGACGATCAAACAGAAAGACACAGCATATCTACTCAGTACTGGCCTGTGCTACATACAGGGTTTGAATGAATGAAGAAATGCATATGATAATACAAATATCATGTTGGCACAAGCAGTGCAAGACAGTTGAATCTCTGATTTAGACATATTACCTTTCTTATGCTTATTAATAAAAGATATGAGGGAACAAAAGAGAGACCAAGGAAAGAACTGTTGCCTGTATCTGCATGTCAAATGCGCTTTATTGAGGCTGTAAATGCCTCGGCTGACTTTATGTTCTTGCTCCTTTGACGGTTATATTAAGTGACTGGAAGTAACTGCAAGTGTTGTCAGCTAAATTCAAATCTTTTGTCATATTTATCTTACTGGTGTTGCTTCATTTCTTGTATTTCTTCAGTTTCGGTATGTATACATAATTGTCTATTTTGTTATGCGGTGGCAGTGCTCTGCGGTTTTGAATTGAAATAAACGATTCTTTTATCTCAACTCGCACTTGTTTATATAAATATTTCAAAGCCTATAAATCTCACATTCTTTTCCCAGAATGCTTCAGGGCAAACAGCAGAGTCATAACAATAGCAGCACTTCCTGGGAGAACTCGACATCTAGTGGATATTGCTTATAACGGCTTTGCTACGCAGGGGACGATCAAACAGAAAGACACCGCATATCTACTCAGTACTGGCCTGTGCTACATACAGGGTTTGAATGAATGAAGAAATGCATATGATAATACAAAATGAGTTTGACAGCTGTCTTTATCATTTCAAAGTAATTTAATAGATTTGTAAATCTATATTTGCCGCTGCAGGAGATTTTATGATGATGGTGCCATAATGCTAAGGGAGGAGGCTACCGTTCTGACGGGGATGCTAATTGGACTCAGTGCTATTGACTTCAGGTAAAAACACTGCATTCATGACAACTCACAAATGACACTTACTTCAGCGGGAATGTGTTTTTATTCTTTTCTTTTTTTCCCAGGAATGTGTCATTTATTAGTCACTAGTGGCACCAATTAGAATGTTTTCACACCATAGACTGTATAAAAACATGGATGTAGTGTCCATGACGTCACCCGTAGATTTCCGAAGAGCGTTTTTGAAGCTCAAAAGTGGGCGGAGGCAGCCGTCGCCATCTTGGCAGCGCGTCACTGCGTGTCACTCCCGGATAATCGAAAATGGGCAAAGAGGCAGGAGCAGGTTGCTGAAGCCACGCCTACCAAGCTCGATGGTGGTGACAGCAGCGGCAATCCACCTGTCACTCAAGTGGCCACTCCCTTAATTATGCAGAACTTTAAGGCTTAATATAATTTAAACGGATGAGTTAAAAATTCACCCCTCTCACAGTTATGATGAAGGGCAAAATTAGCTATATAGCCCAAAATAATTTTTTTAACCAGGCTGTAAACGTTTTTTTTCTGCTGTAAAGTTGGGCATTTTAACATGGGGAGTCTATGGGATTGACTTCCTTTTGCAGCCAGCCTCTAGTGGCCAGTCGATGAATTGCAGTTTAAGTCACTTCCTTGTTGGCTTCACGAGAGAGAGCGGGAGGTTGCCACTTGGTTCACACCAATTAGTGTGATATGATACTGACTGTTTGTCTTTTTTTTGGCCAACATTAGTTTCTGTCTAAAAGGAGAAGTTTTGGATGGAAAGACACCTGCAGTGATCGACTACACACCTTACCTGAAGTTCACCCAGAGGTAGGTTTGCATTTGCTGACCAAACCCAAATCCTAAACCTTATAGTAGCCTTTAAAATGGCATTACTGCTATTGATGTGCCTCTGCAGCTATGACTACCTGAGTGATGAAGAAGACCGCCGCAGTGTGGACAGCAGTGCCAGTGATGAGAGTGTTGCCGAGCATCCTTACATTCCTTTGGTCACAGATGAAGAGACCTGGAGCAACAAATGCAGAAAGATGGAGCAAAGATTCAAGATTGTCTATGCCCAAAAGGTATTGTGTGTTTTTGACTTCCAGTCACTGGGTGATTTGGTTGTAATCCAACTTAAGTTGGTAGCTTGTTTCTTGCTGGTCCAAGATTGTCTAGCAACTAATGACCAATTTGGATCAGACTGACACACAGCTACCAGCAGTGGATTAAAGCAGAAATAGTGCATTCATATACTAATCCATAAATCCCTGTGATTTTAGGGTTATTTAGAGGAATTGGTCCGCTTGAGGGAATCCCAGCTGAAAAATTTAGAAACTGAGAACAAGAGGCTAGTTGCTAAACTAGAGGAACTACAGGTCCAGAGTCGACAAGAGAAGAAAGAACTGGAGGCCATTATATTGGAGCTACAAGCACAACTGTATGCACACACACACTATCACACCTTCTGCATTTGTGTCAACTAGAAGTCTCTAATGGCTTTATTCTGGTATGTTTTGCAGCACTGGCATAATTCCTCATCAGTCCTCTCGTTTGGGATTCAAAGGACTGTCTATTCCACTCATTAACCAATGCACAACTGCACAATCCGCCAACAACAAAGGAAATGTAAAGCTGTTCCGTCGGTAAGCGCTGACTCAAAATTGGAAGACCCTCACCACACCTTGTTTAACACCTTGGCAGTGGCTCAGAACACCTTAGCAATTACATCCCGGAAATCACCTGTATCACAGGAAAGCACTATTCAGTCTAGTCATGAAATTATGTTTTTGGGTTTAGGAGGAGTTTTCACAGTTTGGATCTCTCAGCTGATGTGAGTTTGAACTCTGACTCTCAGAAGGAAGACGGCATTCAGAATGGAGACGCAACCTGGTCAGCAGGTAAAAGCATGCAGATTAACACACAATACAATAATGTCTGAATACTGATTACTAATGAACGTTCCTTCTCTTCTCTTCTCGTCAACAGCTAAAGACAACACTCCCTCTATGCTCGGTCTATGTGGTTCTTTGGCTTCTCTACCCAGCTGTAAGTCACTGGCAAGTCTCAAATCCACTGAGTATTTGGTCAACATCAGCACAGAGCCTAGTCCTGCCCTGTCTCCTAGCTAGGGGGCGCCAAATTCCAACTAACAAGACGCTCTCAGTCCCAGTACTTTCCTCCAAGAAACATCACAACTGTCCTACCAACATCCTTCAAAGATCCCAGTGAGCTGAAACAATGTAATATATATACACAAGGTGTGGAATGGCAACCCCTCCAGCACTCGCTTATTTTCTTATCTTTACTTGCCAATTTATTATTCACTCTTGTCTTCCACCCTTCAGTACAGTCTTCTTCAGCATGTTTGAGTGTCTGTAACATTCCCTGAGCCTGATATTACAGCCCAAAGGCACAGCAGCTTATCTCTGTTCGTTTTGAACTCATTAGTCCTTGAATTCCCTGCACAAACAGATCAAAGTGAAACACAAAACTCAAGACTTGGCAGTTATTTATTCTACATAAATTCATCTTAATGAATATGAACATACAGAGTGGCACATCTGTTCATGTTACCCACAGTTGAATCTCTGATTTAGACATATTACCTTTCTTATGCTTATTAATAAAAGATATGAGGGAACAAAAGAGAGACCAAGGAAAGAACTGTTGCCTGTATCTGCATGTCAAATGCGCTTTATTGAGGCTGTAAATGCCTCGGCTGACTTTATGTTCTTGCTCCTTTGACGGTTATATTAAGTGACTGGAAGTAACTGCAAGTGTTGTCAGCTAAATTCAAATCTTTTGTCATGTTTATCTTACTGGTGTTGCTTCATTTCTTGTATTTCTTCAGTTTCGGTATGTATACATAATTGTCTATTTTGTTATGCGGTGGCAGTGCTCTGCGGTTTTGAATTGAAATAAACGATTCTTTTATCTCAACTCGCACTTGTTTATATAAATATTTCAAAGCCTATAAATCTCACATTCTTTTCCCAGAATGCTTCAGGGCAAACAGCAGAGTCATAACAATAGCAGCACTTCCTGGGAGAACTCGACATCTAGTGGATATTGCTTATAACGGCTTTGCTACGCAGGGGACGATCAAACAGAAAGACACCGCATATCTACTCAGTACTGGCCTGTGCTACATACAGGGTTTGAATGAATGAAGAAATGCATATGATAATACAAATATCATGTTGGCACAAGCAGTGCAAGACAGTTTTACTCATAATAGACATCAGTAATCAGTTTCTGATGGATAAAACCAAGTCCTGCACTACATTTTCTCACTGAATATCCTATTTCACTCAGAAGTCTGACAAATTATGGAAATAAAACAGGTTGCAAAAGGCAACTCATATTGACTTCAAAGAAATATGTTATCTGGCACTTTGTGGTCAACACCCGCCTTTCTTGTGTATATAAATATCAAGTATGTACTTGCATGGGTACATGTCTGTATATACATTGCAGGAATGCAGTACAGTACTGTATATCACCTAACAGCCATTTCGTAATGTCTGATGAAGGATAGATGGCCCAGAAGTAGGCCTGGACAGAAATGGCATCTACCTGTTTGTCTTAAGTAAGAAAAGGTTTTCTCAAGTAATATCCAAGAAATATAAAACTTAAGTCACTGGAAAACCCATACTTGTATAGGGGGAGGGAAGGGGGGGCGACGACTTATATCCTATTATATTTACATTCCCATTAAGAACACTTTGCCACCCTAAATGTCCTATTAAAAAGCCCCTTGGTCTTAGAGTGTGTCAACCTAAGCATTAAGATGTTAATATGACTGTGGCCTGAATCTGGTTAGAAGTCTGTGATTATATGTGTGGATACTTACATATGAATATGTATATACTTTAAAGCTGTACGGTTTTGTTTGTGGAGGTATATGCATACATTTGATAAATGGTCGAAATGTCTAAACTTTAATGCTCCAACATATATTCTAGACTCGAGACATTAGGCTTGACGTTCTTTGTTTTACAATATGTGTTGAGTTTTAAATTATTATTATTTAGTTTGTTTAATTATACTTTAATACAGTGGTTTTTGTTGTTGTTGTTGTTGTTTTTCTCTTTTCTTTGGGGGGTGGGGGGAAACTATTTTTTCATGATTCTCCTGTATCTGTATCCTGCTATTATTGTAAAAGCTAAATAAACAGATTTAATAAAAAATAATTTTAAAAAGCCCCTTGGTTAAAATATGATTTTTTGTTTTTGAATTGCCCTAAAGTTAAATTGTAATATAATCCACAAACATTATATTACAAATCCTAAACAAACCCATGTTCCTTCAGTTAGGACACTAACTTTCAGTTAGCACGCATTGTGCTGCTCACTGCTGGTGGTAGAACTCTGGAAAGTATGAATTCTAATGAAGTGGGCGGGGAGAGTCGCACTGGGACCCGCCCCTAATAGATCGATGCTGCCAACGACCAATAGGGTGTGAGTAGTATTTTTCAGCAGCCAATCAGAGTGGAAACGTGTTTAGACGCCGTGCACTGCTCTGAATCCGACACGAGTGTGTAGGTTGGTTGTTGTCAGAGTGTGCGCTGAAGAATTGGCAGCAGCCCATACAATGTAGTTCTTTACTAGGCCAAGTGGAATAAGCCGTTTAGGACGGCGCATACAAATTTATATGGTTTTTCACACAGAAAAAGTAACGCATTTTGTTAAAGTAATTAGTTTGGGAAAACTTCACTATCATCACAAAAGAAAGTAGCTGACTAGCTAGCGAGTGCGCTAAAGCAAAGTATTTGCACACAGACTTTATTTTTTGACGGCTAAGTCGGACGAAAACCTTTGCTGGAGTGTCAGCTTTAGGTGAACGCTGGAGTTTGCGAGATTCTTGAACTTTTTAAAGACTTTTTAAAGCACAAAGCGACTGTGGGAATGTCGTGTCGGAGTGGAGTGTCCCGGGTGGGTAATCAAGGACTGCAGCCCCTCCGAGCCACGGTGCCGTTTCAGCTGCAGAACCGAGCAGCACCGCGCTGCAAAGACACCAGAGCAGGTAAAAACCACAAGAAACACGCAAAAGCACTTTATAAAGCCATGGCGTTTATTTACTAATATGCCCAACTGTCCTATCCATTCTAACTCTGCTTCTTTGTTAGGTATAATACTACTACTACTAATAATATTGTGAATGGATAATCTGCGGAAGTCCTGTAGCTGAGCTGCTCTTTTCATAGCCTCGGTGCAACAGTGTTCAAGAAATTTTCCCAGAGCACTGAACGACCCCCACCTTATTCCCTACATGTTTAGTGGCCCTGGTGGTCACAAAGCATGGCATGGGAGAGAATGAACATAGCAGGTCTGTCTATTAAGTCACTTTTGATGTCTCTTTTAGATGTTCGTTTTTGCCTGCAGTATTTTATAAACTCTCATCACTGTTTTGGCATGTTCAGCACATAAACAGTGTGTGTCCAGTGCTCAAGAGGTCTGTTTTGCTTCAACTTCAATAATCTGCAGGCACCCTCAGGAAAAACAAATCACGACACATTACTGCGACCTGCTGTTATATACTAACATGTCAAATTTGGAAACAGTTCTTGCATTGTTTTTGTGTTGCTCAAGCATTTTACTAGACAGAATCAGATCTAGTATAAATGCAGGTTTATTATCATAGATCGGGGGTCTTCAACCTTTTTCAGGCCCCTTTGGTTGGTAGAGAAACAAAGCAGGGACCCACTGTTTAAAAACTCAGTAAATTTGAGTGTTACATATTGAACTTGGTCGATAATAACGTGTATTGTACCATTTTAATGCATTTACATGCTATATGAGGGTTATGTTTTAAATCCTTTAATTTGATCATTATTAGGGTTGCAAAAAGGTGGAAAATTTCCAATAAATTTCGGAAACATGCCAGAAATTTTGGAAACTTTCCATGATTTTTTGGGAATATTCCAGGGATTTTTGTAAAGTTTCCAGAAATTTACCGGAAATTTTTCACCCCTGTACAACCCTAATCATTATTGATTGACAGAGTTGTATACTTGTGCATTGCATTTTAATTATTTAATACATTTTATCATGATAATTTTGATTGACATTGAAAACCCTTGTCTTATATGATTGGCATAACAGCTACACTGGGGAAAAAAAAGGTGTAGAATTAATTTTTTTAAACTAAGAAATTGAAAATTTTGAAGTAGAAAAAACGAAGTAATAGGCTAGTTTCTTACAAAACACATTACAATATGTTTTATTTACAACTTTAGAAAGAAACCTTTTTTTTCAGTGTTTATTGAACAATAGGTTTATGTTTTTAGTAAACTTTGGTCTCTTACTAGTGTGACATGTTTCATAGGTGTCAGGCTGCCTCTGGTATTTTACATCAGCATATTGTCAGATTTCCTCAACTAAGTGAGAATACTTTGAAAAGTCTCAACTTTAGTTTTAGGACAATGTGTGAATCACAAAGGGCCGTTGATTCTGAGTGCAACTAGATCTTCGCAAGGCTTTTGGAGAAAGAGTAGGTCTTCCACACGGCAGTCTACAAACAGAGGATAGAATGACCAAAATAACACTTTTTTATTGGGATTTACCAAGGAATTAAACCTCAAATCCCTCTCTTAGCATTTAGCATTTGTGCTGTTGCTCAGAAAGTCACATGTGCAGCCCGCAGAAATCTCCACAAACTCCCACAGAACTGAAACACCAGTCATTCGAGAAGTTCAACACATCCCCACCTCACATCTTGGGTGTTAAATAAACATTTAGACTCACTGGCAGTACTTTCAGATATAGTATTCGCAGCTTCAAATCAGTGCTGAAAATGTGAAAAAGTTACAATATTGTTTTTTTCCTGGTCTGATCATGAGTAATCGGTTTATTGAAAGAAAAATACATGAGCTTAAGCTTCTTTAGCCATCATTGAATTTGGCACAATATCATGGCATGTGTTTCTATTCTGTGGTTGCGCAAAGGAGCACAAGCGGTGGCCAGAGGTTTGGCTGTGTGCAACTTTAGGCCTTATGCCAGTATGTGTATTTTTATATCCTGCCCACTATGCTTGCAGGAGGAGGATATGATTTTGAACTATGCAGCTCATTGGCAGTTTCCATCAGGACTGTGAAACGCATACATGAGCTCCTGGAGAAAACGCACAGATGATCTCATAAAACCTGTCAAGAACATGTCAAAGTCACATTTCAACCCAAATTCCATTTACATAAAGAAAACAAAACCAGTTTTGGGGCAAATCAAGACTTTTAAGACTTGTTGCATTCATGCAAATTTAAGTACATTTCCACCTGATTCTTATTAACATAATGCAAAAGCAAAAAAAATTTTTTTTAAGTATTTGTACATTACAGTGGTATTTATTGTACTGCCTTTGTTGCTTTAAAAATATTAAACGATTTTTTTTAACTAAAATTAATAAATAATAATTATATATATCTTTCTTTCTTTCTTTCTTTCTTTCTTTCTTTCTTTCTTTCTTTCTTTCTTTCTTTCTTTGTTTCTGGGGTTAAATGTGACCTGGATTTGTTTTTGTGAGATTACATTATACACACACACTCTTGCACCATATCAGACAAACCATACATATTCCTCAACCCTTACAATGTCACAGTCTCATTCACATAGTCACCCAACCTGCTTGATACCACACCCTCAAACGCAGTGACAAAATAGTCTCCGTACTAGACAAGTGTGCCTTGTTTAACACCCACCAGTAAACGTCCACCATCAAAAGTGTCCCAAACCCATAGTCCCCAGGGGCTGGGAGGAGGTGAATGGATCCAGGAAGGACCTGACTAGGTCGGAGATCAGGTGTACCGTTATTAGTTCCTATGACATGATCAATGCACAGAAGAAGTCAAACTGTCTTGTGTACATGTGAAAATGATCCTCTGGAGTATTTTGGGCAAGAGCTTGATAACTAGCTTGTCTGCAGTGTGTTGATGAAGCACCAGGATGTTCAGCATCCGTTACGACAACAGCATCTATTTATAACGAGTCTTTCATGCATGGACTGTGTTGCAGCATGCCAACTCATGAGATAAATTAAAAAAAATATTATACATAAACATCATCAGAAACACATTTTAATGTCAGAGCTGTGGCACAGTGATTAGTGCATATGCTCATGGGACGCCGGTCTCATTCTCCTCCTTTTTGGCTGTCTTCGGTAATTTAGGCTTTGGTAATTCAGTTTATCTGTTTCCAGTTTAATCAACTGAATTAACGATGAGAAGTCAGAGGTGTTTACTTCCATCTCATTCATCACACTGTTTTTGGGCCGTTTTAAGCCGTTGTTACTTTCATGCAAATTAAGCACACTTCCCACCTGATTGTCATTACTGGAATAGAGAAAAAGTAATGCAAAAAAAGATTTATTATTATATTATTTAAATTTGAGGTACTTAAACATAAAAAATATATATATATTATACATTATAAATAATGTTATTGTGATTTATTTATTTTAAATTGACTATGTTTGAAGTGGAATACTACTTTATCCTTATCTGAATACTGTGTCATATTCAATATACATTCCTTTATGTTCTCTAAAAATAGTAAGTGAAACAGTCGGCTATAGTGCACACATTTCAAACAGTAGTATGTTAATGCATGTGATGGGCATCCAGTATTCATAAAGGAAAAAAACTGGCTTTTTGCCTTTTGTAATACAGTTACAAAATTGCGCATCGTGTGTGTGTGTGTGTGAGTGAGAGAGAGAGAGAGACAGGATCACAGTGGAGTCAGCTGTCTTAACCATGGCTTGTGTACTGCAAACACATACCAGCTTCATCACTGTGTCTGTCACGCGACTCTGGTCCCCTTTCGGGCTTGAACTGATGGTAAAACTAAGGACATTATTTACTGTCTTTACATTTATTTTGAAAGATGAAGCTCGCGATTATGGTAAGGGGTGTTACATTTCCAAACCGTGCTTGCGGTATTCGGCCAATCACAATGCACTGGGTCAGCTGGCCAATCAGAGCAGACTGCGCTAGTTGGAAGGAGGGACTTTGTAGAAAACGACGTGTTTGAGAGAGGAGGGGCATAGAGGACCTACAATAATGTACAGTATTTGAAAAATAATGTGTTTTTTGAACATTAAAGCATGTCAACATATTCTGTTACACCAAATACACAAAATAAGGATATTTTTAAAAAGCAACATATGACCCCTTTAAAATGTTGTACCTTTTGTCAGTGCAATCAAACGAATCAAAACGGAGAAGTTAAATGAGTTCACTACTTGCTTATTGTTCACACTCTAAATGAGCAAATTGCATTGTGGGATAGAGTATTGCTTGCTATGTGCTTTTTTTATTGTTGAATCCATTTATTATTTTAAAAACATCTCACAGTTTTCATTCTCTCGCTCTGTCCTCTCTTTGTAGCCGAGTACAAGACGAAGGGTCGCCCACCGAAGCCAACCTTACGACGGACATTGTCTCTGGACACTTTGGTGGGACCGTACCTTCAGGGCAACTGGCCTAGAGAACCAGAGTGTCAGCCTGTTACCTGTGTCAATGACAAGGCCACACAGGTGAGAAATGCTGGTGTGATCCTTCCCACACCAATTTTAATTTTTGGGTGAACTATTCCTTTAACACAGTCTGAGTTATTAATAGCAAACAAAAGAGGTCCTGTCTGACCATGTGGAGTGGAGACTTTACTACTCAGTGGGGAGTTAAACAAACCATTGGTTTGATCTGCCTTATATGATACACATATAGAATTATGCACAACTGTTTTAACATTTGTGTTGTTTGCAAAGCATAATTCTGAAATGGTCAGGGTACATAGTGTTTGTTTTAGAAAACTAAAGTCAAGCGGTTACTAATGAAAATCTTGGCTTTGGTGAGAAAGTGTTTGGCTGGTAATGAAAGGAGTTTAGGAAAAGTCAGCCTGGAATGGCAGCCATATTGTTTTTTTCCAAATGGGTTCCATATGAGTTCCTGGAGCACTGCTCCAACATGCCTGCTGGGGTTAGCTATATTCAGTCAAACACAAAAGTTGAAAGTCTCCCTGCTGGGGCTGTTCATTTTGATTTAGCTTCTCAGTTTGTTAAAGGTTTTGCACTGTTAAAATAATTTGATTTAGTAAGACACGTCATACTACATTTGTACTTGTTTTTTTCATCCAACTGTTTGTGTCATGCTGCTTATTTATGAGAGTTGTGCTAGTATTATTTCTAAGCAATCAGACATGAGAATATCTCTCGTGGTTTTGCGCAGCTTGTCAGTGAACAACGGCACTGTGAATAAAATGCTGCTCCATGTGAAAGCACGCACGTGATGGAGATTTAACCGCTGATTACAGAACTGGCTTTACTGACAAGATGCGCATTAAATATCGCATGTGATTTATCGTGCAGCCCTATATGTAACATATTTTCTGCCTCGTTCTGTGACAAGAAGCCACATCAGATCACAGAAGGAAGCATTTGACTGGTGTTGTGGAGTAAAAAGGTTATAATGTTCTCTTTTGTTGGACAATAGGTTTAGAAATGTGATTACAAGGGAAGTTTAGCTTTAGGCATTTTAATTTAAGCATGTTTAGCTTAGTTAACGGAAGGCTACCAGCTGCCATCAGAGCAAGTGTAATTACTGCATTCACACGCTCCTCGGATACTCTCAGAGTCATTTCCCGAGTTGTGAAAACAACATGGACACTCGCGTAACTACAAAGATTTGTTGGATTTGTATTATTAGAGCGTTCCGACTTGAGTACACATGCATTTTCTCAGTCGGGAAATTATTTTTCACATGCGGTGCCGCTGATGATGCTTCTTACGTCCGTTTCGGAGAAGGCAATCTGCGTTCTGATTCGGTTCTAGTACATACCGGTTACATAGGTACTGGTGCCATATTGGTACCGGGTTTCGGTACCCAACCGTACTGGTGATGCTGTGAATTGCACCGCTGGAAAAAAAAAGTTCTATTGAACTATTTCATAAGAGTCATGTGTTTTTGGAAATGCATAGCAATGCCCTGGGAAACTACCCTACAACTCTCATTTTCTTGAAAATTGTAGTTTTATTTATTAGACTAGACATGTAGTTGTAACACTGCATCAAACCACCTTGTTGCTTTGCTGATTTGTGAGAGCAGTAGTTTGTGGGTCTGTTTGGATGGTCTTCGCTTCCTTATAGATGCTACATCCAGGCCGGCTGTGTCTCTCAGCAGGAGATCTGCTATGCTTTCACTGATAACCGGTCACCCAAAAAAGGTTTTGTTTAACATGACCTTCATAGTGACCGTCCCCCTCAACCCCTGCCACACACACACACACACACACACACACACATACATACAATGCACAAGCAAAACCCCCACTCACACCCTACTTTCATATATTCACGTTACATCAAGCATTTCGTCCTTGATGAACAAATGCAACCCACTTTTTAGTGGACATTCAACAGTTAACAATTGTACAGTCTCAAGACACTCTCGACAGTCTGCCCAACCCCCCCCCCCCCCCCCCCCCCCCCCCCCCCCCCCCCCCCCCCCCCCCCCCCCCCCCCCCCCCCCCCCCCCCCCCCCCCCCCCCCCCCCCCCCCCCCCCCCCCCCCCCCCCCCCCCCCCCCCCCCCCCCCCCCCCCCCCCCCCCCCCCCCCCCCCCCCCCCCCCCCCCCCCCCCCCCCCCCCCCCCATCTGACCGTCCATCTGGTCCACTTGAGCACAGACGGGGACTTCTGAAACTTTAGCCAGCATCTAGTGTGCTGTGCATACAAACCCTCAAACTCAATGTCCGTTTATAGGCCTAATCCCACGGCAGCCTGATGTGGGTGGGCGGGCAGGCGGGTGTCCAGGCAGAAAGGAATAAGGGCCGAATTTATATTTAAATCAAACCGCAACCCTGCCCCCACTGGGCCATGTGAAACCTCTAGCCACTAAGCAGACACTGTTAGTCTGATCTTGCTCTCCAGGGGCCGGAGGTGATGACATGTTTTAATATGGCTCACTTCAACTGCATGTTGTTGCATTAGCATCCCAACCACACAAGATATTTGTGACCTGTGGCAGGGACAGGAAGAGAGGGACGGAGACACAGCAGGAGGACACTTTTTGGGTTACGATAAGCTCTGAGATGGAGCTCGGTGATTGGGTCACTTGGAAAATAATCGTTTGGTGTTCGGCGATATTGTGTGCACTAGCTGGGCTCCCACTTCTTTTCAGAGTCAGCTCAGTGAGACCTGGGACTGTAGGACGGGGGTATCATGACGGCATGCATGTGTCTGTCTGTGTGAGTGCACTTGAGGACAAACACGTTTGTGTTTTCCCCTCTACATCTTTGAAATGTGGTGCAGCAGAGTCAGTGGTTTCTATCATGCACGTCTCTGCACAGCTGTGTGTGTTTGGGCGTGTCTGTGTGTTGCAGGTGTGTCTCATTTTCTGTCCCATATTCAAATACGTTTAGTGAGGCGTGGAAGCAGCTTTCAGTTCCATTTGTGACATACAGAAAAACATGCCAACACTTGGCGAGTGGGGTGCACCGCTCTCACAAACGGATGCTTAAGCGTGAACTGGAACAGTGTTTAAGGGAGGGTGTGTCATCGGCTGTCTTTTGTTCAGTGTAAAGGGCTGGATTACTTTATGTGAAGTCTGAGGGTGTTTGGGATCGTTGATATTCAGTGAGGGGAGGTTCAGTTTTGATTATCCTGCATTGTGGAGCATTGTGGGTGTGAGGTTTTGAAAATCAGGATCTTTAAAATAATGACATGCCAACACTTGGCGAGTGGGGTGCACCGCTCTCACAAACGGATGCTTAAGCGTGAACTGGAACAGTGTTTAAGGGAGGGTGTGTCATCGGCTGTCTTTTTGTTCAGTGTAAAGGGCTGGATTACTTTATGTGAAGTCTGAGGGTGTTTGGGATCGTTGATATTCAGTGAGGGGAGGTTCAGTTTTGATTATCCTGCATTGTGGAGCATTGTGGGTGTGAGGTTTTGAAAATCAGGATCTTTAAAATAATTTCACTTGGAAAGTCAAATATAAGCTTGTTTTCTCTCTTTTCTTAGACTCCCAGTTCCTGGATAGAGGAGACTCGGGGGCGGAGAGGGGGCGGCGGTCACAAGCGTTCGGCATCATGGGGTAGTGCTGAACACCTCAGAGAGGTAAGTACTTGATGTTGGGCGCAAAATGTTGTTTGCTATTTTGAGACACAAAGTAGTCTAACTAAAAGAAAGTACACTACCAGTCAAAAGTTTTTGAACTGTAAGATTTTTCATGTTTTTTAAAGAATTCTCTTCTACTCACCAAGCCTGCATTTATTTGATCCAAAATACAGCAAAAAGCAGTAATATTGTAAAATATTTTTACGATTTATATATATATACAGTGGGTACGGAAAGTATTCAGACCCCCTTAAATTTTTCACTCTTTGTTATATTGCAGCCATCAGTGTCACTATTGTTCAATTAAAAAGGGAGGTCTAGTGCTATTTCATGCTTTTTGAGTTATTTACACTTTTAAAGAGTTAGATTCTCATGCTAAACATGGCCAAAGTTTAAAAAAACAAGTATTTCTGTGTCAACTACACTCCTTAAGGATTCGTACAAGTTTCGGAAAGTTTTTTTTTCGAGCATGGCCCTTCATTACGTCATGAAGGGTGGAATTCCTTGTATGGGCAATTCTCCCGGAAGAGCGGGCGCACATCAACCAGAGCGAGAGCAAGAGCGCGCCCGTCAACGTGCTTCATTCTGGTTACGGAAGACGGCGGCAGCACTACACAGGACTTGCTCGAGAAAAATGTCTCCAAAGAAGTGTGTTTTTGGTTGTGAGGGAAAGATAACCTTGTTCAACTTCCTAAAGAACCCAGCGTTACGTGAACAGTGGATGAAGATGGAGCAGTCCCAGCGATAAAAGATGAGTCCATTTTTTTGCTCCGCCCATGGCACACCTCCATGAGCTCAGCTGTTTTCGGAGAGAAGCGCAAAGCTGTATCTGTCTTTTATAAATCTGATAAAACTAAAGATTCTTTGGAGATATGAAGGATGCAGTACTACTCTATAGGTACTCAAGATTAACACGAGATTGGCAGAAACTGTGTGTTATGTCCCCCTTAATGTGTCTTTTTTTTTTTTATAAATAAATTAATTTAAATAATGTATTTCTTTAAAAAAAAAATCTAAAATATTTGAACAGTAGTGTACCATTATGTGATATAAAATTATTTAAATGACTGATAAAGGAATATTGGAATATTAGAGCATCACCCACCATTGCTTAGAAAAATCATATCAATTTAATATAATAAACAATTATTATTTAGACCCATTATTCAAATTATTCTGGGCCACTCTGTCCCATCTATTTTTAGGACCCATTCTGTGCCAATTTTCATACTAAACTCGTTTTACTTCTGTGGTACCATAGCTGCTTTTTACAAGTGCATCCACAGAGAATACTCTACTTTTGAACAGAAGGTATAACCTTTATTATATGTCAGCATAAAGGGCATAGCAGTTAGGTTTCACCTCTCCTCTGCACCTTATAAGTTTACATCTGATACTACAACTCTCATATTTCTCTCCTTCAGGTCGCTAAACTTCGACAGTCCTTACAGAAACGCTGCAGACATGCACCTCCTGCCATGGACTGTGACCAGACACACCAACACATACACAACAGCCAAACACACTCTTCTATATCTTTAGCTCTGTCAGAATTCTGAACATTCACTATCATATATCAGACAGATTATAAAACATGTGCTATAAGCCTGACCCACTGCATGATGGTTTTACAGAGCTGTGGATCAATCAGAATTCAGTATTTACAGACACAGGTCTTTACGGCATGCTGGACTTTTTTACCAACACAAAAGAGGCAGTAATAGACCAGAGAGTCTCTCATCAGCTGTTCATTATAGTGGCATTTCATTTGAACGGCTGACCAAGGTTTTGAAGGCTGGGTTTGTTTTGAATACTCTCAGCATGTCTGTTTAGTAGTTCAGAATATATACATTTAGACATCATTAAGCAGTAGGTGTTTAATAAATGTCTCCAAATGTTCAGTGAAGAGCAATTATTCATAAAGTAATCTTACAGAGCTTGTCAAAAAATGTCCCGATCATATTTCACCACCAATCAAATGAAAAAAAGAAAGAATAAATTTGTACTAAGATTTTTTTATTGTGTCATATTTGTAGGACGAGTAAGTGCATATTGTTACTGTATTAAAGTTAAAAAGTAAAGAAAGATTTGTATATATACAGTATGTGTATAAAATAGGTACTAAGATAGACTTGATTATTTTTCTATTTTATCTTTTGAGTTTGGATTGAAATATGATGGGGATATTTTCTTAATAGGTTTTGTGAGATTCGCCGGTCCAGAGAAACTGTTTACAGTTGTAATTTAATAAGGGAAAGGCCATTATTGCTAGTTTATTCTGAGGTCTTCATATGTTGTGGGCCGCTGACACTTAAATTTGGTGTAAGACAAGAATACCGACGGGACCCCATTAAGGGTTTATTTCTCTACGCACTTGATAAGTGTGCTGTATGTTTTACTGAATTTCACTTCAGACTTGACTACTAATCTTACCCACAGTGGTCATATTGTTCAGTTAATTTGAGCACCAAGCTGTTATACAAACACTCTACATAAGACACAAGCAAGTCTGCTGCATTCAGATACAATATGTGCATATCATACAGAACGAGACTTCCAGCAAATTATTGTTTGCTGACATTTAAAGCACTGTTATTATCCCCTATGTTTGCATGGATTGTGTCTCGGTCTTGGCATCATCCGTTCAGTTTTTTAAGTTCTCACTTGTTGCCTTGTTCTGTAAGGGTGCTGTTTGAATGACATTGTTCTCAGATTCTTTGTCTTGAGTACAGTTATTGTACACCAAACCTGTTTTATCCTATATATTGTAAATTTATGTTACTCAATTTTGGCTGCCATAAATGAGAAGCGCAGAGAATTAAGAGTGTGGTTACTGTTCTGTATATCAGCTTAATAATTATGCATTCTTAAGCATAAGTTTCTGTCTGTCTAGCTATCTGTCTGTCTATCTATCTGTCTGTCTAGCTATCTGTCTGTCTATCTATCTGTCTGTCTAGCTATCTGTCTGTCTATCTATCTGTCTGTCTAGCTATCTGTCTGTCTATCTATCTGTCTGTCTAGCTATCTGTCTGTCTAGCTATCTGTCTACCTGTCTGTCTGTCTGTCTAGCTATCTGTCTGTCTGTCTAGCTATCTGTCTGTCTGTCTAGCTGTCTGTCTGTCTAGCTGTCTGTCTGTGTCTAGCTGTCTGTCTGTGTCTAGCTGTCTGTCTGTCTAGCTGTCTGTCTATCTGTCTGTCTGTCTGTCTATCTGTCTGTCTGTCTAGCTATCTGTCTGTCTATCTATCTATCTATCTATCTATCTACCTGTCTATCTATATCTATATATCTGTCTGTCTGTCTAGCTAGCTATCTGTCTGTCTATCTATCTATCTACCTGTCTAGCTATCTGTCTGTCTATACATACATACATATTACAATGTAATATACATTTGTATGTGTCCATTTAAATTGAACACTTGGAATTCTAGAATATTTGCATGAACGAGAGACGTACACATGATGCTTGCGGAGGAACTCTATGCCCCGCCCTCTTAAAGATTCCAGCCCTGTGATTCGCTGCATGTCGTCAGCTTTTGCCTATTTGGACCAATCCAAGTACTACACATACCGCTACGTAAAAATCCTACCTGCTTATTAAGAAGGCCCCACAGATTTGTTTACAGGGACTTGTATGTAATGCCCAAATAAAGTTAAAGCCGCATGCTGTCGGTATAATGGACAAAAACATAGATTGAGCCGAAAACCTGAGCTGGGAGGGAAGTAAACGCGACTTAGCAAATAAAGAAATGCCCGTGGCGTAAAACGGTATTTTAAATCAGTCTTCGATCCTGATAAAGTTACAGGCATATCAGCAGAGGAGCTGGAGTTCCTCGGGTCCTTCTCCTCTAGTGTCATTTGACGCGTCAAACGAAAACATTTATTAGAGGACGCCCTAGCAATAGTTATCATCTGCTGTTACTAAATGTCAAAAACAGACCGTTAACTCAGCATCTCGAGTACAGAATTACTCGCAATATCCGGAAACAAAAGACGCATTTTTACATGCATTCGCTTACACCTCATTTTCAGGATGCGGCTAACGTTATGTGGACACAGTTAGCGCGCGGTTCATTTACATGATTGATCTGTAAATACAATAAAACACAAATAAACGTAGGGTAATAAGAGCGGACGTTTAGTGTTAAAGCAAGTGGCTTTAACACTGTAGATGTAACACCAGAACAGAGAATCTCGAGTCGTGTCATACCGATCGCCGGTAGAGTGGATCGGGACGCAGGAGCGCGGGGTACGGGGAGCGGAGCGGTGTCCGTGTCCATACCGAGACTGCTGGACGATAGCATGGCCGCCGGGAAGGCAGCGAGCAAACCGTCTCTCTGGCAGAACGAACGGCTCCGGTTCATCGTCTGTTTCTGCGGGGTGTTCGTGTGCTACTTTTACTATGGGATACTGCAGGAGACAATGTGAGTACCAGACAGCATTGAATAGACCTAGATTTATTTAACGAGGTATTGCATTTCTATATTTCTTTTTCATTCATTTGAGTTACACTTCTCAGTTGCTATTATCGCACTAAATTACTCCCTGCCTATGTGGCTGCAACAGTAGAGAGAGAGAGAGAGGATCTGTAGACACTGTGAAGCAAATAGAGAACGAGAAACACTTTCTGCTGATTTGTCCTAAATATCACAATGTGAGGGGAACATTTCTCCCCAGATTTGAAGCCCTGATCCCATCATTTACTGAACTTCGTGATACTGAGAAAATGCCCTTTTTACTTGGAGAAGATGACAACACAGCTGCCCTAGCTGCTAAATATGTGTTAACCATTCACAATGTTAGATGTTAAACATGATTAACTCGATACTGACTTACTTATATATATATATATATATGTGTGTGTGTGTGTGTGTGTGTGTGTGTTAATGCTTTGGCAACATTGTGTTACACAGTCATGCTAATAAAGCTTAATTTAATTGAATTGAGAGAGAGAGAGAAATTCATTAGAAACCTCTACTTCAACAAATTCACCCACTTAGTAAAGAACTTTACAGCCATTAGTGAAACAGAACAAATAAAGATAGTATTAGGAGAGGGACAGACAGCAGCACTGGCTGCGAGATACGTGTGGATGTGCTATAGCCTGAGAGACAGCAGGTGTGCGTGTGTGTGTGTGTGTGTGTGAGTGAGAGAGAGAGAGAGAGA